CTTCAGCTTGATCCACCTGCGCCGTCAATCCCAGCGCATGCGCGCGGTTGAATTGCAGTCTGGACGCTGAGGGTAAACATGCTGTGGCTCTGACTGAGTTGCTGGAGGGGTCTCAAAAGTCGCTAAATGTAGCGACAAAGTCGCTAAGTTGGCAACACTGATTGACTTGGGTTAAAACTGTGAAGAAAAATATAAATGTAAAGCTATAGCTTTAGATGTAGCTTAACCTTGAAGCCTCTTGATTCTTCATTGAATTATTGAAAAACTGTAAAGAATTTTAATTTAGACATTTTTAAAGGCCATCAGCTTGTATCTGTTGCCCTTTAGATTTGCAGCTGACATTTAAAAGTTAATGTCTGTATGACGGCACCATTACCTCTGGTTGTTTTCTTCAAGCTCAACAATACAAAAGCTTTAAGGTGATGTTTCATTTGCCTCCAAAAAACTACACTGAAGTATTATATCCAACGACCAACTTTGAACATCCCTGTTTTCTCCTAAAGGATCAGATGAGCCTTTTAGAGGATAACAATAAAGCCCAATGCCAATCTGAAATCACCGAGAAAATGTCAGAAATGACAAAAGGGGTGTTTATTCCCTGTGCCATAATTGACTGATCATTACCATGATGGCATTGTGTTTCCTGCCAAGCAGTTGTGACCCTTATTAGTTCAGGAAGCGACCTGCAATCAGGGTTGCTAAGTGCCATCCGATCCACCGGAGGATAGGAATTGGGAAAAGAAAGGGGAGATAAAGGGTTTGATGTGGAGAGATGTGAACAATGGAGAGGTGCAGAATAGGGGATGAAGAAGCGACAGCACTGAGGACCAGAAGGGGAGATGAGCCCTGATTGAAATGTAACTGTAGAATCGTCATTAAGATTTTAGTTGAGTGTGGTCTGCATTAATATTTCCACTTCTGCAGATTTAAAGACTACATTGTGAATATAGTCGTTTCATTTGAGTAAAACTCTAAAGGTTTGGAGACTTGCATTGCCTAAAAATATCGAGCCCTGCTGGCTGTGTACATGTGGCCTTTGGACCCTTTTTGTCCTTTTATCTTGTGTGTTTCCTCTCGAACAGTTTCCACCTTAACTTCAAGCTGGGCCAGATAATCCTGATGCAAAATCAATACTCCTTTGCTCCTGCTCCATCTGTTTTTTCCATCCATCTGTTTTTTCCTCCTTAACTCATAACTCCATTCACATCCTGACTTACATTGTGATTGAAGCCTTATTTATGCAACAATATTATTACCATCATTACTGATTAAACTATCACAGAAGACATGCATTGTAAATTTCAGGAATATGTATATCCAATCAACATCTTATCCCATTACAATCACAAGCTTTAATGTTTTTGAGGGGGGTTATAAATAAAAAAAACGGCATGAATTTGTGCATGATTATGCAAGGTAAGGACAACTCTGGGGTCTGAAAGGCTTTTACTGCTTCTCAACTTTCTAGAGCACCTTCTTTTTCATGTTTGCCTCCCCTACATGGCTTAAGGCATTTACTTTCTTTCTGCAATGCATTTCTTTTTACCATTCTTACTTAAAGGTGTATTAAATCAATTCCCAATAACGGCGCTGCACACTACAACATGCTTGGGTTGCTGTGTTGCACTGTGCACTTTACCAGCACATTGTAGTTGTTATAGAGTCGGCAGCTTTAAACGGAAGTGTCCCGAACACCGGCGGTACCTGCTGATACTTCTGCAAGTCTGAGGGATTCGCCTCGATCCATTACATGCTTGGATGCTGATGGTGTTTGTCAGCATGCTCTGCATGGCCAGAGGCAATTAAGCTGAAACACAAGCTTGATTTAATGAAGCTTGGCAGGAAAAACATCCTCAAACAAGTTTTGCTTTTGAGATGAAAGAAAAGGAGCTTGTGATGCGAGGGGGGGCTTCACCAAGTACTGATGAAATCAAAAGACAGGTAAACGGGAGCAAACAAATTTTCCCTTGACATGACTAAGATCTTTTTTCCTTTTCCCATGTTGAATCCCTGACTATTTCTAAGGCTGAAGCAGTGTTTAATCCAGTGGCAGCTGCTATAAATTAAAAATACACGTATACCAAAAACCAAACAAACGTTTACTTGGTTATCACACCAGTATATTCATGTGAATTTCTTGCACCATCACTCCCTCAGTTACACTCTCTCTCTCTCTCTCTCTCTCTCTCCGATGCGTCTCTTACTCCCGCGACTCGACCTGTCAATCACCCACAAAACGTCTGCGCTGCATCACATAGTCCGGGTTTGGACTATGATGACATACACATTTTTTTTCTCCTTTTTACGTGCATCTATTGTGAAGTGATATTTGTACCAAAGGAACTATGTGTTCCAACTCCCCACCAACCCCCAGTTTCCGTTCATTAATTAGTGTTTCCCTACACCTGTTGACTTGTGCACCCCTTTGGGCATTTTGTCCTACTATGAGTTCCCCCACCCCCCTCACTCAAAAGTATTGACGATTGTCTAAAAGTGGAACGCATAATAACTGATTATAAAATAAAGACTATTTTAGTTACTTTTAATCTGAGCATTTCATTCTTATCATTTTATGCTTTCAATCTCAAATAAAAACATCATGAATTTGTTGCCTGGAAGTTGGTAAGGAATCAAAATAAATAAATACAATCATATTATAAACCTGTCATTATAAAACTGGAGCTACCTTATAATCAATTTAAATTTGAATTGTGAACAAAAATTATAGACAGGCTTAATTAGATTAACTTTTTTTCAACACACTTAAGCTGTTTTAATGAGCTCTGATAGCTCAGTGTGGAAAAACAGCTGATCCCAGGCTGTTCTCTACATCCAGGCTGTTCTCTACATCCAGGCTGTTCTCTACATCCAGGCTGTTCTTCTGCTTGGTTTGATGTGTCAAAGCTGAAGGTGAACTTAAACATAAAAGAAAAACTTACCTTTTTGTTGATAGAAGCTTGTTTAATTTTTCTATCATCTCCTCCCAATGCCAAACAGACCCCAGCCCAATTTTATTTTAAACTTGTTCCTGCTTCCTGACCTGCATTATTGTGACCAATGAGCTGACATAACATATGTAACGATCCAGAATCCCCTCATCCCATTGGTCGAGCCAAGTGTCGCTCACGGAGAAGATTTAAAAAATACAAAAAAAGATGCAGAAATATAGGGAGGAATATACCGGGGTGAAAAAATTCTGCAATAATGAATGTAAAGCACACTGCAAATATGAATCTAATTCAATGCAGATTTGAGTCAAAAAGTTAAAAAAATCATTTCTCACACAAAGGGGGGCTAAAAAGAAATCACAACTCCAGGAGGGGTGAAGGCACATGAGGTGTTTTTTTTTTATTTTCTTTTTGTCTTTCTTTTTTCTAGTTTTTTGCACCCCAACTGCGACACACATGCAGACGACCTGGTTTCTGAGTATAAACCAGTTGGTTACTAAAGATGCTCTGGATGCAGTGTTAAATATAATCTTTCCCTTTTGTTGGCCTCCTATGCCCGCGTTTAAACAGATTTAAATTAACCCTTTGATTCCTGTCTGCATCCTAACATGACGTCATTTTAAAATCTGATTGAAACTGAAGACGATGTGGGGAAAAGGAACACAAGATTACAAGGGTAGCTTTTGTTTTCCTCAGCAGCTTGATGGATGTATCCCTGTTGGTTCCTGATTGGCAGCTGAAAGCTGGCTGAGTCCCAGCAGGGGGAAAAGAGACAAACATGCTGAGTTGGTTAGACTGTGCTGAATGTAGAGGAGCAGACCACACCAGCATCTTTAAAGGAACAGAGGGGAAATTATGCTTTTATTTGGTTACATGTTTTGTTATTTTATTGATAACTAAAGCTCCTCATGAGTCATTAAATCACAGTGAACGTATTAATTTTAGGTATACATAATGATCCTTTGATTAATGCTTTCTGAACGGACTTTTCCTTTAACCCTTTCTTTTTGGCATCAGAGCAAGAAAACCCTTCATATTGCCAGGCAGCTTCTTGAATCTTACCTCTGATATTTCAACGCTTTATTTTGGACACGATCTTCAAGTGTTTAAAGGATGGAAAGCCTCTTTTCCATCACCCTAATCTTTAGTCATCTCCACAGATTGTCTTTAGGATCAAAGTGTTTTCCCCTTTAGGAGAGAAAAATCTGCCTTTGATGCTATAAAGCCAACAAATCCAACGTACCATTTACTTATACTGACAGAACAAAACACCGTGCTCTAAGGATTGTTGTGGCTCATATAAACAACAGAACCTTGCTTCCAAAAAGCAGAGCTGTACTTTTTAAATCCTGGTCAAACTTTGGAGTTAATTAATTCAGGATTTTTCACAGAGGGTCCAACTATAGGTGCTTAGGTTCATCCCTTCCTCTCCCTCTGTCCCTCCACTCATCTCATTACCGACAGCAGAGGGTGAGAAGTGAGGCCTGCATAGACCTATGCATTAATTATTGAATCCTGTCTTCTTTTACCGCAGCTCCTCCTCCACAGTCCCTGATAGCCTCTGCTCTGTTATGTACAGGTTAACCTGCAGGCTTCAAGCAGCAGAAATGAAAGCAGCAAACAGACTTCAGGGATTTGATCAATGGGATGAGGTGCTGCTAAACGGCGTCTGTGCGACAGGTTGGCCCGCTGGGGCCAGATATGTCGCTCCCCGTTTTTAATTACATTTCGGTTGTTCCGGTTGAGCTTCATGCTCAATTAATTTCCATTCAGTATTAAATGGTGCGGAGAGGTAGGCAAATAGTTATTAAAAAATGACATTTGATCCGTTTATTGTCTTTGCTCGTCAGCGGCGCTGTGCTCTCATGCCCCTGCCCGCTAGATTCGAAACGCTCATTTTGAGGCCGGCTAATGAAGGCCGTGGAGGTCAGCGTGGCCGAGACTTTTAGACAAGTTTAGGGCGACTCACCGTGACGCTTGATCCCCTCCCCCCCAAACTGTCTGTCCTCTTCAGCTACCTTTGTGCTGACTGTGAGTGTTTGCTTCCTGCAGGTTTGAAAAGGCAACATCAAACCTCGACCTCCCAAAGCCCCCAAGCAAGAGGAGGAAGACGCTGCCAAGATGTTCAGCACCAAAAGGTCAGCACAAAGTCACTTTTGATCTGTTCCAGTATAAATGAAGAAAAAAAGCTCAGTAGAGATTTCTGGAAACTGGAGAAAAAGATGGTAAAGTCTGATATTTCATTTTGTCAAACAGACATCAGAGATGGACAAAATGTGTAATTAGGTCATTGTACTAAAACACACAGAGTGTTATTGAATTGTTACAGTCACCCTTTAGACATCAGTGGGAATACTTTCCTTCAATCTTTGCTCAAAGTTTTAGCAGCCCTGTCTACATGTCTGTGCATTTTTAATGTGGCTCATGGTCTCATACAGTCTGCATGAATGATTCATCTGTTTGGTTTCTCTGGATGTTGACTGCAAGCTGCAAATGTGCTGCTGATGTTTATGCAACGTGGACCGAAGGTGCTGAACAATATGCAGGAGATTTCTAAGAAACAGAAGGATTTTTATCATTAGAAATGATGTGGAAAACTAAATTTTTTTATCTGTACAAAATTAATATTTTTTAGGATGAAAATTGTTTTTTTTTGTTTTTTTCTGCCGGGAATATTTATTGTTTTAAAAGGAGCAGCTACTTTACCTTAAAATGATGTAGAAGTATTAAAATATGTTTCAATATACAATCAGTGACCAGGGATTTTCTGGTATTTTGCAAATGTATTTTCATGTTTGCTTTTATAGTAATGAAAGTTATATAATTTGAGAAATATTTCAAAATTCTCCCATTTGGCAATATTCAAAATTTGCAGATTCAGTAAAATTGTCCAGTTTATGGGATCAAAGTATCTCTAAATATAAAATGAAACTAAAATCAATAATGAGTAATTATTTACCCCTTTAGAGAACAGTTTTCCTTCCTCTGCCCTTTCTTACCTTGAATAGATGTTTTTTATGGGGGTCCCCTCTGATAGACTCTAATAACACAGTGCTATTGCTGCAGACTGCGTTAATGCTTTAATTTGGTGTCTGTGAGCCTTTATATACTTTTAGAGCTCATTTTTTGTTGTCTAACCTATCATATAACCAATTTAACACCAACAACAATCTGTCAAGCAAGTCTGAAGCATCTTTTATTCCTTTTTAGATAAAAGCTTATCAGAAAGTAGACAAAGTCTCAATCAGATCTCCTGTCTAATAGGAACTTAGCGCTGTGGGTATGTGGTGAAATAATGCTGTGTTGCAGTAGTTGCTAATCTTTTAATCAAGGACTCCCATACGGATTGTTTAAGATGCTTCTAATCAGGCGTTCCCAAACATTTCACCTCCAAAATATAGCACTTTCACAGCTTGACGACCCACTAAAATAAATATAATTGCATGTAATTTTTGAAATAACATTTAATTATTTCATCATTTTTAGTTGATATTGATTTATCTAATAGGAAATGTAGTTGTTTGTGCTTTTTCAAATTTATTGGTATATTTAATAGAATATTGCTCATAATTTCTATAATTTTTTATTTTTTTTTTTTTATCATAATTTTTCTATAGATTTTTCTATAAGCCATGCTTGGAAATCTTTTTTAAAGAATATCATCATCTTCCAATTAGGAATGTTACAACTGAATCCAAAGTAGTTGTGTTCTATCTGACACTATAATAAAGGCTGGAATTTGATTTTCATTTTGTAACCAAAAGCTCTGTAATATTAGGCAACCAAAAAAAAAGCCCCAAAAAATTCAGAAGTTTTTGCTACATTATATATTTGATTATAAATGGAATCAGCTGAATGGCGCGGGAACTTCCGGTGTAGCTACCAGATCAACTCGGGTGGTCAGATGTGCTCGGGTCCTGCTTCATGCCGGTGACGTTACGCTACATGATTGGCTGAACGTTGCCACATGATGTCAAAGAGTGAAAGTGTGAGGATAATCAAGACACTGCTGTTTTCTTTTTGGTTTAATTTTAAATAATGAAAATAGCTGAGTTCTTAGCAGATGTTGTAGATTCTACAATGTAGAATCTGTAGCAGGTGATTCTACGCATCAATACATCAGTTGGTTTCTGAAAGTTACTAGGTTCTTTAAAATTACTCAGAAAATTAGAAATGTACTGATATTATAATATTTCATTTGGATTTTTGAATACATAAGTACTTTAATGAATTAGTACTTTAATACTTTAAGGTTAAGTAGATTACTGACTGAGTAACTTTTGCCTGTAGTTCAGTAAGATTTAACTATGAGTATTAATACTTTCGCTCAAGTACTACAGATGAGTTCTTTGTCCAAGCCCCTAATTCACTATAGCATCAGAGCTATAGTGTATTAGACGGCTTAGGGGTGCTTGTTGCTTTACTTAGGACACTATTTTAATAATCTAGGCTTGATTTTTCAATCATACTTGACTCACAGCCAGATGTAGGGCGATTTTAATTATATTCAGTTACTTATTCACTGAAAATGATCTCCAAGCATTGACGGAGCCAAATCAATCAGATTAATTCAAAGTTTTCTGTCTAAGGAAAAGCAGCTTGTTGCATCGAGTCCTGGACTTTCCCTTTGCTAATGGGTGAGCTGCAGACAATAGAAATTCAGGAATCAGATTTTAAACAGTTTTCCTCCTGCTAGTCTGACCTGGTTTGCTTTGTTTCTTTTGGGAAACCCTAAGATTAGCGCTAAGGTCATCTCACTGGGCAATCATGGTCACAATAAACTCAATGGTGGAGCCAATTCGGTCCCTTTGACCAATAAAATCAACTAAAGGGAAGATGGCTACATACATAACATTTTTTACTTCTTTAATTTAGTGACAAAAGGGTTCATATTAATGAACCTAAATCACTCTCTTAAAGACCTTGTTATATTTCACCTCTGAAACAAAATCTCTTCATATTTTCTCTTCCCTACTTTAGAGGTTTACCTGTAGACCGATCCTGTATTGATTCCTTCTTCTTTTAGAGTTGCACTTTTCAAAGTAACCCACCATGTTTGAGCTGATATCAGCATTAAAACTTTGCTGCTGTGTTTACATTATAGTATTTCCATGGGGAAGGGGAGACTTAAAAGTATAATGATGCGACGTCCCAATGCTGCATCCATTTAGCTGTTTCATGCTGCTGTGTGTAATAATCATCGTCATCATACAGTGAGGGGGGGGGGATTAAACCACGCTGGGCTTCTATCTTTCAGGAGCTGCGTCAGCACAGTCGATGACACAGATATCCTCTGAAGGCCTGTGTTCAGCTGCCATTTTAAAATTCAAATGCTGAAAAGGCTTTTTTTTTCTCATCTAGACGGCAGACTTTAAATAATGACACTCACAGAATAATTAAAACTGTTTCTGCAGATAAAATCTAAACATCTTGGGCTTGCAGGTATCGGCTTAAAGAAGAAAGGGACTCTGAGAGGAAAAGTGTTACGGATAAGCTTGTCTGTTTTTAGTGACATGCTTAACGTTTACCTCTCTTGGACTTTTTTATTTTTTATTTTTGTGGCCTCACAGTCTACTGTTAAAAGGGATTTCTTGTGTTGCATCGTTTTACTTTTACATAGGCTGGATTCAAACTGAGGGCCTTAATGCTCAATTACGATTATTTTGTGAATGCTGATGTTTTTTTTTTTTTGCGTTGTCTTTAAAATTTCCAAATCTATACGATTTCCTGTGGGAACTGCATCCACGCAGCTTGAGGGTCCCGCAGGAGCAGTAGAGGAAGCAATGACGTCACTAGTAGCGAGCGCGTTCAGAATTTACGGAAGTAAACATGGATGTAGCGCTTGAGCGCATCTAACGAGATTTTATACCTTTTCCAAAAGGAACCAGTGCGTAACAACGCAATATTTTCGAGAAGATCAAAAAGACTGCTCTCCGAGGTGTAAAAACAACCAAATGGTTGTTTTTACACCTGGTTCTGCGTTGCAGGACTGCGTGTAGGGACCTTTTGTTGAGTCAGGGTTTTCTTGGGTCATTAAAAATCATTAAGTCATTAAATTGTAATTTTTTAAATTGAGGACTTAATTGACATTAAAATACATTAAATGTGATTATCGTGGCATTTAAAATGCTTTATTTGAAATAAAAATATGATTTTAAAAACAATTTCAGCACATATTTGTATCGCAATATATTTGCACGGAACTGCATCTAGTTGATGTTCGGAAAATAAGCTAGCAGCGGAAAAAAGCTAGGGAATGGGGAAAATGCTATCGACATGGCTGCAGCCTGTCGACAGTAATGACGACGTAGGATTTTGCCGTCTTACTTTTTTTTATATATTTTGTATATATGCCATGTTCATTTTTATTTATTTATATATATATATATATATATATATATATATATATATATATATATATATATATATATATATATATATATATATATATATATATATATATATANTATATATATATATATATATATATATATATATATATATATATATATATATATAATCTCCTGCATAAATCCTGTGAGATCAATGAGATCTTCACTAAGAGTGTTGAATCGATTAATCCTTATTTTCACGGACGCAACCACTGAAATCGAACACACCCTTTATCTTGGACTTTATCTTCACTGTTTCCACACCTCACAGCAAGTCAAGTCAAGTCAGCTTTTATTGTCACTTTCTTCATATGTACAGGACATACAAGGGAAATGAAATTACGTTTTCTCTCTGGAAATATACAAGCAATATACAAGACTGACATTTACAGACTGACATAAAGTGCGGGACATGACAGATAACAGTGATAGACTGGTAACAATAAGTGGTCAATAATAAATACAGTACAAAGAACCTATGACATTTAACGTTAGCATTCAATATGTCACATTGAACATGGCTGCTAGCTGCTAGTAGAAGCTAACTGGCTTAGCCACAGTAGGCTAATTATCATCCCTCCTTTGTTATTGTAACTATAAACATGAGGCTTTATTAAAGCCCCTGTCACACCTTGACGATTTAGCCAGCGTAGAAAGATCGTGAGAAAAATCTGGAAAAAAACGCTGGCATTCGTTGGATAAGTTATGGGTACGTTTTTGTATAAGTTATGAGCATATTGAAACAC